CTTGTTCTATGTTCCAATTTAATCAATTAGTTTTGGCGTAATAACAACACATTAATTACGAAAAGCATCCCCATATCATTCAAGCTTGTTATTAACCGTTTTAGGGATCGTTTACCTAAATGTTTACCCGGTAAGCGCTTACCGTTAAAAGTCAACACTATAATTTTATTTTATCGGGTAAGATTGTAGTACATCAAAACATATCTTATGCAAATTTTACCAGGTAAGAGTCGTCACCCTCACTTACCGGGTAAGACTCTCCATTCTTATCATCGCTCTTACTGGGTAAGATTCTTGCCCCTTGCCATGTTCATCCGATAAGGAAAATTACCCAGTAAGTACTTACCAGGTAAGCGTTTAGTAAACGACCACTTACTTAAACATGGCTATTGAATGCTTGTTTATACGTATTCAATGATCTGGTTTTGCTTCAAAATACCTATATGAGCTCAATTCAACGTTTTGATATTAAAAAAGGTGTTATCAATACTGTTATTAAGACTTTCAGTTTTTTCTTGAATATTTCTCTGCCGCATCACACGAGTACATATCTAAAGCTAATAGATTGTCTAATGAGTGTGTACAGATCCACATGAAAGTCAAAGTGTGTGCATGATCTGCAATTCTTTTAGGGTGCGTTTGGTTTGCAGGAATGTTTTTGAGGGATTTGGATTTCCAGGAGGGATTTGGATTCCATGGGATTTGGATTGGATTGGATTTAAAATCCATCATGTGTTTGGTTTGCAGGATTTGGATTGGATTTGAAATACATTCCTCTGTTTGGTTTGTAGGATTTGGATTTGGATTGAGATTTTTTTTAAGGGTGAAACTAGGCTTATTCCGATCATATCAATTTGCCTTTGCTTATTCCGATCATATCAAGAAGTCCAGAATCTTCGAAGGCAACTACAGCAAGCTATTGATGAAAAAAATGAATTTGAGGTCTGTACAGGCTTATTCCGATCACCTTCTAATACTTCCTATAATTTTTTTAACCTAATCTGTGTTCATGTATATTCAACCTAATCTGTCAAAATTGAAGGATTTAACCTAATCTGTGTTCATGTTTAGAGAGAAATCGAAAAGGGGAAAAGGGATTTACCTGTTGAGTGATGGAAGAAGGCGGTTTATCGGCGAGGACAACAGTGGGAGATGTTGGGCGACGGAGACGGTGAGCAACGACCACCGACTAGGGGTGAGCAGCGGAACCGGGTACCCGTTTGCGGAACCGGAACCGCCTTGGAACCGCCAGTTCCGGAACCTGAACCAATATGAGTGGTTCCGGTTCCTAAAATACGGAACCGATTGAGAACGGTTCCAGTTCCGGTTCTCAATTTTTCGGAACCGGTCCTGGCGACCGCCGGGTACCCGCTAGGACCGGTTCCGGAACCAGGTACCCGGAATCGGCGGGTACCCTGAACCGGAACCGGCGGATACCCAGTGTTTTTCAAAGGACGTGGTCATCTTCATTCTTCATCAACTTTCAAGTTCTACTAAACTACACTTCATAGTATGTAATCGTTAAGTTTTGAACATTTACAATTATAGTATGTAATCGTTAAACTTTGAACATTTTCTATTAGTCTATTATGGTTTATAATCGTTAAACAATATTTGTAACCATTATTCCGTATAACTTGTATTCTTGTTTATTTAATTTAGTGTTTTGACAATGTTTTATTTTTTATTTCTAAATAACAAAATTTTAATATTTTAGGAAGCGGGTACCCGGAACCGGAACCGGTTCCCGGCGGTTCCGGTTCCAAAAATTCAAGAACCGCTCTAACCGGTTCCGGTTCCGGTTCCTGGTTCCAATATCTCAAGAACCGCCGGTTCCGGTTCCTGTCAAAAAGGGCGGGTACGTGCCTATGCTCACCCCTACCACCGACGGAGGTGGCAACGGAGACGAAGGGCGACGGCGACGGTGAGCGACGACCACCGACGGAGGTGGCAACAGAGACGAAGGGTGACGGGGACGGTGAGCAATGGAGGAGCGATGTAATCTGTGGCAACGGTAAGCAATGGACGAGAAGGGCAAGAATGAAATCCCACGGGAATGGATTTCAAAATCCCGTGTATTTTCAAAGGATTCTCAAATCCATAGTTCACGGGATTTTAAATGAATCCCAGGATTTTAAATCCTACCATTTCTACAAACCAAACGCAGGATTAGAATGGATTTTAAATCCAAATCCCTCCAATTCCATTCCATTCCTGCAAACCGAATGCGCCCTAAAAGAATTGCAGATCATGCACACACTTTAACTTTCATGTGTATACCTCACTCGAAAATCTTGAATATACCACTACTAACGAGACTAATTAATGAACTTCCATTGGAGCTCGGCAAAATGATTAGTCGATGGAATGAATGCGGAGTGGAATTTAAACGTGCTCGACAGCCCTATTGATAATTTAGGTACAAACATAAAGAGAAAAGGGGAGAAACAACACATGTAGAATGTGGTATGAAAGGGGTAAACATTCATTGATGTCTAATACCTAATTTAGTAGTCAAAAGTAAATGCCCAATTTGCCCTCAATACATGGAGTGGAGGTATCTTGAAATGTAGGAGTCTATTAACTTTTATAGGGGCAATTTGGAAATCTTTAGGGAGACATTTACTTGTGTATTTGATTGTAAGTTAATAAAAGATGGCTATAAGTCACTTTCAAGAATAAAAATAAAATAAAAATAAAATAAAAAATCTTACGAGATGGGGTTATATTTTGGTCGAGTCTTTTTCGTACAAGAGAAATACGTTCAATGGGTACTGTCACTCAAAAGTTAGGACTCGGGTTAAGCTCACTGAACCTAATTCCATCATTTTCCTTTCACTTTTATTTAAATTTTCTCGTGTTACTTTGTTTTTCAGGTTTTTGATGTTATCTTTTACAATTTATCAGAATATATGAAACCCTCTCCAAACAAACTATCTGAGTGAAGAAAAAAGGTTATAACATACATATATGGTGGAGAAATGATCAAAGTTTAGTTGATGTAGAACTCCAACACGTCTCCTTCAATGAAGGCTATGCCGGTAAAAATTGTCTCAAAGTCTCGAGAGGAACTAGACTATATAATATTTGGAACCCAAAATTAATCTCAACGAAAGTCATTAAGAAGAGAAGAGAGGTTCCAACATATATCGTGTAGAAATGGTCCAAGTCTAACTAATGTGAGATTTTAACACGACCCTCCAACAAATTGTCCAGAATGTCGAGTCCTTGGTGTGGTAGAATATGTGGAACCCCCAATTTTACTCTCTAAAGAAGCCTTTGAGGAGATGAGAGAGTTCCCAATACATACAGAGGAAATATTGTTCAAGTCTAGCCGATGTGGAACTTCAACACCCTCTCTTCAACGGAGGCTAGATGAACACATAATGTCCCAAGTGTCGAGAGGGGACTGTATGAATAAATATGAAGGGTTCTACATATTCTCACATGCATTCTAGGGAGTCGACACTCTGTATTAATTTGTACTCGTCTGGCCCCCTCTCTATACTTTTGGACAGTCTATACCAGTCTAATCGTCCATCGGATGAGGTATGTTAGAATTCCTATCGGCCAGATTTGATTATTTCTCCTAAAGATATGTTGAACCCCCTTCTATCCTTGGATCAAACTTCATTCCACGAAATAGAAAAACCTAAGGCTGATCGAGAAAGTCATAAAGGAAGGCTCTTTTGATTATGTTTTTCTAAACGATTAGACTACATACCAACATATATTAGTAAACTGTATGATCATAATATACAGTTTAATCTACTGAGATCAAATTTCTGAACATAAACCGATAACTAAACCAATCAACTTGTTTTAAAATTTTCAAAAATAGTTGGCCTAATGAATGTACAAAATGACCAACCATCCAAATTGCTTTGTTTTGATCAATTTACTCGGTTTGGACCGGATGATGCACATTTCTATTGTTAGATATATCTTATCTGTACCTTATGCATTTAATGGTCTACAAGTAGCTAAAACTCGTTTTCCACATGCTTGTTACTTTTTTTCACTAAGGGGCCGTTTACCAAACGCTTATGCGGGTAAGCGCTTACCAAGTAACATTATCTCACCGGATGATTATACTAAGGACCAAAAATCTTACACGGTAAGATCGAGACAAAGATGGTAAGCGAGGGCGACGACTCTTACCACAGTAAACGCTTACCGGGTAAATTATTATATACTATGTCGTTTTGGTGGACTAAAATCTTACTCGGTAAGTACATAATAGTGTTAAATTTTATCGGTAAACACTTACCGGATAAGTGTTTGATAAACGGCCCCTAAATTAATTTACATTGGCGGGAAAAAGTTAACTATACTTATCTTTCTATTTATGACCTTATATTTTATTTTTATAATTTAAATTGCCAATTTAGTTCTATAAAAGTCAAAATTCTTACCTCCTTTTCTTTGTAAACAAAAAGACGAGAATCTTGTCGTGTGTAACGGTTAGGGGTCGTTTACCAAACGTTTACCTAGGTAAGTGTTTACCAAGTCACATTACCTTAACGGATGAATATGGTAAGGACCAAAAATTTTACCCGGTAAGAAGGAGACAAGGACCGAGAGTCTTACCCGGTAAGTGAAGGCGACGACTCTTACCAAGGTAAGCGCTTACTCTGTAAATTGTTGCATATGATGCCGTTTTGGTGGACTAAAGTCTTACACGGTAAGTAAGTGATAGTGTTAAATTTTATCTTAGAATGTCAGAAACAACCCGAGAGTATCATGCAATGATTATATATAAAAAATCACATAATTAGATTACCAAAAACAATATTAATAAGAGGGAATTTTGTATAAATCATCGTAAATAACCAAAAATTCAAATAAATTGGAAAAACAAATTGAATCCAAGAAGTAGAAATGAATCGTAGGCTCAAAAGTTAACGTAAAAAGAATTTGACCCTTTTTTCTAAACAAATTTCTATCTGCAACAAATGAATGAAAGAATGATCTAATGACATTTTTACTCCCTACAAAGAATTGTTAACCTTTATACCATCAATCTGAGCTAACTGTTGTTTCACATTATGCCGCCGGCTGCTGCTGCTGCTGATATGACGACGAAGCTCCGGCGATATCAGAAGGGGTCCATGCTGATACGGTGTAAAGAGGCTGATCGGACCAACTCAGAGTAACACCTGCGGTGGTGGCACCGCCATCGGACCACCGTTTTTTTACCTTGAACGAATTTGGACCAAATGGATGGTGGTACATTTTCAGTATCATTTGGCTTTGAAGAAACTCCCTTTCGTTGATCTCGACGTTTTTGAACCCACCAAGCTCCACCATCGACCTCCGCCACTGATCGAAACCCACGTGCCGTTCGAATCTTTCGAGACCTTCGCACGCAATTATGTTTCTGATCTCACGTCCGAAGGATTCCTCTATCTTCATCCGAGAATGACTTTGTAACGGAAAGACGGTATCGATGCAATCAAAGATGGCGGAATAGTATTGCAACGAGTTTGATACCCGTTTTTCCAACATTGATTCGTTATGCTCGGATTCTTGCTCGGCCATTACGAGAATGCTCGGATTTGTGCTTCGAATAAGCCCGAAAAAATCCCTGAGGGCCCCACCACTGCCATCATACAGCATTTTGTGAAGCTGCAAGATACAATTCACAGCCACAGTTTCTCCTTCTTTAACATGAAGCATCCACAGTCTTACATCTTCTAATCTATCGACAACCGGATGAAATTCGAATTCAAGATTCAAGGATTCCGCGAACTCGGAAAGTCGTGCCCCTGTCTCGATAAGATCCTGTTTCGATTCTCCGATTCCCGTGATCCTGATAAGGCTTGGAGGGTTGTTTCTGGAAGCTAGACTTTGAAACAAGCTCGGCCATTGAAGCCCTTGTTTGATGTCGAAATCTATCACATGAACTTTGTCTTTCCCTTCGAATGTTCTTAGCAGAATCTCATTCGATGTGAAATGAATGAATTTCGGAATTGGGGTTGCTTGATTCAAGAGCCTTAAAGCTGTGCCATTCTCTTCTTCATTCTGACTAAGGTCCCGAGGAGTAGAAATCTGGAAAATATTCGGCCAAATTCTTGAAACCCGTAAAGCTAAAGCTTCTGTGTAATAAGCGGCAAGGCGGGAGATTGAAGAGTCACCTCTAGGAGATGCTAATTCGCCTAATTTAGAGATGAAATGGTTAATGGTAGCTATGTTCTTCATGCCAATCGCATCCAGACAAGCTAAAAGCAAACTAATAAGCTCAAATCCAACTTCTTCATCATGGTTTTCATTCCCAATTGCTAAAAAATCCAAACTTTGGTTCGGGTTTGGTGCACCAACTCCATTCAGACCTCCCTCTTGTGCAACAGGATCCAAACTTTGATGGCTTTCTGGAGAACTGCTTCTTGATCCTGACCCTGATGATGTTTCTTTCACAACCTGCTGCCTATGGCTGCTTGAAGCGACCCCCTTTTCGCCTAAATCAGCTAATTCGTTCACAAAACTCCATGGACTGGTTCTCAATTGCGGCGAATTCACATTGCTTGGAGCAAAACATGCCTTTTCTTCAGCTGTCGACAACGAAAATGGAAGCGAAGTAGCAGGATCAAGAACAAAACCCTGTTTGCTAAACCAAAAATTCCCACTACCCAATTGGCCTAAACTCAAATTCTCTTCATTTTCGCCAAATTCTTCGACTTTCTTGCAACCCCTTTTCCTCTTGGCTCTAAAAGACTCATCCTGTTCATCATCATAAAGTCTTTTCAATCCTTTGCTACTGTTCTCCCAGATTTCGGGCCTTTTCTCTACCACATTGTGCTTAAGCGAACAGCTGCTGGTTCTAGATTCTATCGGGTTGTTGTCGACGGATAAGCTGCCTACAGGCCTAACCGGCTGTGATCTTGCGGAGTCTTTTCGCGGGAAGTTAGTATTACATGGCAAATCCAATCTTTGTGTGCTCATTGAAGGGAAATGGCAAGCTTGAAACTGTGCAGATGGTTTAGTATGCCTTGGAGACAACAATGTGGAAGAACACCCAGCCAACATTCTTTAAACCCTTCCAAGGTTCTTCACTTTCTCTCGGTATGTATTCAATCAATTGCAAATGTTTTCAATCAAGTTTATGAAGAGAAATCTACAGAGTGAGGGTGTGTATGAACCTTTTTTAAAGAAAACAGGTTTAAAAAATGGAATCCAATGCTTTTAATAATTTATAAAAATATATGTGTGTGTGTATATGTATGTGCAATAAAGAATAAGAATATCTATCTATGAGCAATTCAAAAGAATCAAAGAATTTGATGAAAGAAAAGTAAAAAGTTTACCTCAAAATGATCATCGGATTCCGAAAATTATGGACCAAGAACACACTCTGAACTGAAGTGATGATGATGATGATGATGATGATGATGATGATTGAAGAAACCCTTTACCATGAATGCAATTCAACCTCCTTAATCTGATCAAACCCAAAGCTCCAAAAAGATTGAGAACTTGAAGAACACATTCCAGCTTTTGAAAGCTTGAAGAACTCCATGGTAATCTTTTAGCAAAAACCCACAAAAATTCAAACAATTTAATGACTTTAAACCCTAACCAAAACAACAAATTAATCAATCAATTTGAAGAACCCTAATAAAAAAAAATGAAAAACTCAATGAAGAACCCTAAAGAAAAAATCAAACCCCCCTTCAAACCCTAATGTAAAAATCAAGAAATTTGAAGAAAACCCACCATTTTAGTTGGAAAAAAAATCAAGATTTGTTGATTAATAGACAAAAAGATTGTGTTTTTTTCCTCTCCTCTCGCTCTCGCTCTCACTCTCACTCTCACCACTAGGCAACAGTAACACTACCCAAAAAATTCACGCACAGATATAAGTTTGTTCTTATATAAATCAGAAGGTTGGGGTACTGTATTATCTTTCTTATTGTCAGAGGAATGTGGTGGTTATGGGCCGTAGGATGGAGATCTAACGGTGGAGAGTGGTGGGTAGGGGAATATGACCGTTGTGGTGGGGGTCGTCGGTGAAATATGACCGTTGGGTGTACGGAAGTGAGGCCGGTGGGGGAGTGGTTCGAGTTATTAATATTCGTTTTCTTTTTGGTGAAAATGCACGTAGGGATCTCACGTGCTTGTTTCCTGATACCCGTTTGAATTGACCGTTGGTTTGGAGGAAGACACCTCCAAACCCAACACCATCATATCTTGCCAAATTTGTATACATTCTTATTATGGAGAAAAGCATGCACCGACCCGGTATACAACACAAAATTTTAGAGTCGTGAAAAGTGTCATCGTATTAATTTATCATGTATCACTGTATATATTTTAAAAGTACAATAAGGGCATAAGTTTCTTTTGTTAGAGTTGGTTTGTAAGGCTTTTCTTCCACCCCAGAGCAGAGTTTGAATCTCGTTAGTGTCATTTCTTGGTTCTTAGCTATTAATTTCAGATTTATTATGTTTCTAAAAAAATTACAATAAAATACGTGAACACATGACCTTACATATGAAAAACAATGAAATAACCAACACAACAATGTCAATTTTGTGAAAAAATATCTCTATGTTTGTTTCTTATAGTCAAATGATGTCACCATTTGAAAACATTTCTAGGTCCGTCCCTAAAGAAAAGTTAAGAGAGAGAGTTATTTTCAAAGAAATAATATATGAATTCAAAGTCTGAAAATAGCTATTTTTGTTTAAAAAATTATTATATATATTCCTCTTTAGAATCACATTAAATTATGTGTATTGTTATTTACTCTTCTTGATAGAAGGTGTTGAATGCTTGAAAATTATGCTATCTTTAAAAATCTGTAAAATGTCAAATCAATTTAATAATATATTATATTTATTATCGTTATTGTTTTATAAACATATACGTTATATATTTATATTTATAAACCATTGAACTTTAGAATCATTAAGCAGTTGCATATTTTTTAAACAAATACATCATCGAGCTTTTAGAAATTGATTACTTAGATTACTTTAATCCAAAAAGGGTACTTATAACCGGCTATGAAGGCTTTAAATTAAAAAAAAAATCTAAATCAATTTTGTTGTCCTCAAACTCTACCTCTTTCAAACCCTTGCACTTGTCGCCATCATTCCCCTCGCCACCTCATCGTTATTCACTCTCATCACCGTCTTTAAGCCTTGCCATTGATGTCCCATTTTGATCATTTTTTTGTTTTTTGATTATCCTTTCTTGATTTATATATATATATATATATGGTATATTTCTTTTACAACCTTGTGCAACCTTTGCAACCTAATTAATTAAGATATTTATAGAAATGATTGGAGTTCATTTATTATGATTTGAATATTTATAGAATATGAATAGAGTTTATTAATTATGATTAATACTTTATATTAGGAAACAATTAATTGATTAAAAATTGAATGGTT